TTGGGTTGGATTGGATTGGATTGGATTGGATTGGATTGGATTGGATTGGATTGGATTGGATTGGATTGGCCATCAGGCTCAAACAATCCTCACCAGAATCCAACCAAGCCATCAGCCCAGGTAAACAATTCTCCAAACACATTCCACACAGGAAAAACAAGGATCAGAAATAGAAATTGTTTTCTCTTTCATTTCTCTCTGTGCACCTCTATGAAGAATTCTGAGAGGGAGAGAAATGTGCTTGCCACAGACACATTGATCCAAAACAATCAAAAAACACTTCTGAAACTTATCCCTGAACAGTCAGCAGGAACAGAGATGCTCTTGCTCCTCTGGGCAAGGAGCCTGCCTTGATTTCAACCTGGAACTCCCTGGATCTGGTGAGCCTAGCCCAGCCACCAGCACATCCCACCCTCTGCAATGTGAATTTTAGCCTCTGGGCTGCCCAGAGCCACTCGGCTGCTTCCCTTTGCGTGGCCAAGGGTGGGAGCTGATGGTGAGGGTTCACATTTTCTCCTTTCTCCCTACAGGACTTGTACCTGCCTCTGTCTTTGGATGACTCGGACTCCCTGGGAGACTCCATGTAGAGCGGGATGTCCACCCTGCGTTTGGGATACAGCAAAGCTCCTCTGCCACAACATGCAGATTGCTGACTGGTGCTTTCAAGTCAAAGGACACACGGTTAAATGTCATTTTTGTTCTGTGATTTCTCCTCTCTGTGCCACAAACCAACACCTGTCAGTCTATAGAGATAGAGGGATACCATTCTTCTAAGTCACAGGGGTGCAAAATGGGCATTGTGAGAAGTTTGGGGCCGATGTGCCAACGACTCTGTGCATTTCCCATTTTCTTCTATTGTTCTTCTGCTGCTGCAACCATGTGGTTTTCCTGGTGTTAGTAAAGTAGTTCCCCTGGAGGTGTGCAAGTGAACCCCTTGCTGAGCAGTTTGCAAGCTGGAGCAGGGCAGATGATGTTCTCCACCTGGGCAAACTGCCAGCCTCTGCCAGCTCACCTGCTCCTCATTCACAGCCCCAGTTTTGGCACCTGCAATCTAAAGAATTTTATTGTGGAAGGCAGGAAGGGAATTTCTAGTTTGATATTTAATATCCCAGCAGATACTTGGATGAGATTAGGAATGATTGTGTCAGATGCTAAGTAAGGTTAGTACAATTATTCAAATTATTCAAATATTGTTTGGGTTTGTTTTTTTTTAATAATTAAGCAAAAAAAAAACCATAAATCAGCTGAGTTATCTGGAGTAGAACACCTTCCACATGCCATGCTGCTAGCTGGTAACAAATATTTATACCTCCCCTATGGTATCTCTCTATCTCTGTTTGTAACAGTAATGCCTTGTGAACAGCCAACACTGAAAACACTGTGAGAATTTGTTTTCAGGTTTGACACCCTATAGGTCACTTTTTATAGCAAAAAAAATCAATACACTTTTTATAAAGGAAAACCTTGTATCTGTGTTTTGGGAGTAAGGATTCAAGCTCCTTCTTTTTTATAAAAGCTGGTAATTTTCTTTTGTTTAAAAAACACGTTCAGAAAAAAAAAAAAGTACAAAAAAAACCAACCACAACTGCAGAACAATAACAGCAACTCAGTTTAGAAATCTTGTCATCACTGCCAAAACAGACACATGTGGGGGGGAAAAATGGTCAATTCAAAATATTGAATGTTTTGATAGTTTTTGTAATGTTTAAGACTACGTATTTGGTTTTTTTACACTTCAGTATTCCTAACTATGGCCAGATTCTCTACTTATATAACAAATGAAGTTTTGTGGTGTTCTAAAAACCTGTATTTTAAGAAACTCTTCTATCTGAGAAAAACAAACTCGCTGTATTTAGAGAAAGCTTTTGCTTTTATTAATCAGTAATGCCTCCTCAAGAATGCAAAGTTCATCTCCTCACGCAGGGCTGGTGGTTTTTACCGCGCCAAAGCTTCGTCCTAGGCCAGCTGCCATTGCCTCCCTCCCTCATGGAATAAGCTTTGATGAAACTGATTCTTGCAGAACTTTACCTAAATGAAATCTGTGCAATCAAGTCTTTCTTTGTTGCTCTATTTGCTTTTTTTCTTCCTTTTCCCAACATAGACACCTACTCCCTGTTGCCTTGCAACCCCTTGTGATTAGGATGGATTTTATCCTTGTGATGTTTGATGCTCCATGAATGCTGGGTTGTTCCCAAAGCCACTCCACATTTTGTTTGCTTGCATTGCTGGGATGAAACAATCTGTGCAGGCTGCATCTTTCGAGGCTCATGTGATGATACTTATAATGCAACTTTTTAAAAGAGATTTATCAGAGAGAGGCCAGGATTGGGAATTGTCAAGGGGTCAGAGTTATCATGCACCAGATTTGCACCCAGTAGTCTTAGTGCATGATCATTTACACCCAGAGTTTTGCACAAGGAACCATTTGTTCTCACGGATAGCTTCATTTGATTGAATAACTCTCTGACTGCACAACTGCTAAATGGTCATTTTTAAATACTGTAAATAGAATCCTGGGGTTAGTTCACAGGCAAAGGGCTCGTTGAGGGTTTGTGAGGGGAAGGATGGTGCTGTGGACAAAGTTGGGTGCAGCAGTCAGCACACCTCTAAGCCCTTGGCATTGCTGAATTTCGTGTCTGAATGGGAGCAGGTCTCTGAGTAACCCTGTGCCTCAATCTGTCTGTCTGTCCCTGCAGGGACAGCTCTGTTCTACCTCACTGGGGGTTGTGAGGCCAAATGTTGGTAAACATTTGTCAAGTGCTTTCAGATCCTCTAACAGAAGGTGCTGAAATATTCTGGGTGCAGATTTGGTTATGGGTGCTAATTTTTTGGCTGTTTAATCCTGTGAGTGCTACTGTAGACACTGGTCATGAGGAAAATCCTTTTTTAAGCATAAGGATATCAAAGGCCTTGGTTATGCTAATAACAATATTATTCATCAGAGCTTTTGTCTTAGGGAAAGCTGTAGTGAGACAGATAACTTGACATGCTTTTACCCTCTCTGTTCTGCTGGTGGAAATCTCAGAGTCCCTCCCTGAGTCTCTGCCCCTCCAGGGACCCTGAGCAATAGCCATGGACGGAACTGCTGTCACACAGTGACAGAGGCCATTCCTGTCACAGTCAGGGTGAGCCTGTCCTGCCACCTTTCCTCAGATGAACAGGAGACCAGCCACGCAGTCCCACCCAGGTTCTCGTGCTGCTCAGTGCAGGACACTCGCCACAGATCCACCAGGAAACCCAAATCCTGGCTGCTCTCTGCAGCCTGAGCTGCTGGAGCTGCTGGTGGGAGGAGAGGAATCTGGGAGATGCTCTCAGCCCGTGTCTGTGAGTGCAGTTTGTGTAAGAGAAAGCAGGATCCCGAGGGAGGAATGATCCTTTGTTTGGATGTTTGGTTATTTGGAGATGCTTTTCCTGGGGAAGCATCACTGAGGAATCACTGAACTCTTCCTCCTGAGCTGCACCTGGTGGCACATCTCAAACCTCCTCCTGCCAGCTCTCCCTTGGGAATGCAGCTTTGTTTGCAAGAGGATCATCCTGTGGTGGGGCTGAGCCCAACAATTCCTTCAGGGAATTAGGGGGACCTTGAAAAGGCCTAAAAGAATTAAAGTTAATTGTTCAGTGGGAAAAATAGCCATTCAAACCAGCAGAAGCCACAAAGAAAACAGGGTATGAGGTCAGAATCCCAAGTTTTAAGAAGCAATTTTCTAGGTAGAAATGCCTGGGCAGTAGAAGTCAGTGAGCATTTCAGCTATAGCATAGAGTGAAGTCTGTATTAATGCCAATATTGCATGAATTCTTGTACAGAAATGCATGTGGAATGTTACATACATTCAAAACTAGTTATCTTTGGCTTTGTAGGATCCCTTATCTACATTTGAATACAAAGAGAAACAGTGCACAGGCATCAGAGCTTTGTTACTTAAACAGAAGGACAGCCCTGATTCAGGAAATAACTTAAAAGCTTAAATTTTAGCACGTGCTTTACTCCTGTTGACTTTTCACGAGATTAAGCTTGGGTTTGGTCAGAAGGCTTTCCTGAACTGCCGTGAATTAGTTATTACTTCAATTTACTATAGCAATTCCAGACCCTGTGAGATCCTGGAGCAGATGATAGTAATTCCACTATATCCTCCAGAGTTCACCTTTCATAAATTTTTTTTTTACATTTACAAGCACATAAAGCTCTACATGATATGAGGATTTGCCATATTAATTCTGCTATAAAAACTCTGTCTAATTTGCCTCATGAGGCTGCCTTTAGTGCTTTCAGAGACTAATTGAATCACCGAGACTACATTGTTTTAAAACAATACAGTATTTAAAAACAAACTGGAGAAACTCTTAAAGTAGCAGGGCTTAGTTTCTTTGAAATCTGTCTTTATTCCAAATAATTTAGCAAATTTGCATAGTAAGATCCCTGTCATAGTCCTTAGGAAGGAACAGTACAGAGAGAAAAGTTTAGAATTTTTACACTCAGGTGATGGTCTTGACTGTAGATGAGAGCAATGCAGCAAAACCTTCAGCCTTGGGATTTTTATCACATGTAAAGCATTTATAATCCTGAAGTTTCTGGTTTAAAGCCTCATCTGGTATATGATTTGGAGCTAGTTCTGTTCCACCCGCTAAATATCTTGAAGTGATTTGGAAGGAGTTTGATAATGGGATTGTGCTTTGTGGTGGGAGTTGGAAGCAGCTTTTCCCTACCACTGTCTGTGTTTCCAATATCTGCACATTATTTATTGTCTTCTCAGGAGCTAGAAACCCTAATTGTGTTATTTCCATAGTCAGTAGAAGAATCCTGCTTAGAAAACAACTTCCACATCCCATCCTCAGCTAACACCCATGTAGGCATACAAAGAACCGACACACTTGGTCGAGCTGCTATTTCTCTCTCATTTGCTTGTTCAGTACTTCTGAAGGGGAAAAAAGGTAGAACCAAAAATTGTGGCCAACAGCAAAGCAGTGTTACACCCAGGCATTTCCAAGGGCATTAAAGTGTTAGTTTCTCCTTACCCAGATGGATGACATTTTCTAGGATGCCTTGTCTTTGCTTTTTAATGCCTTTGGGGTCAGTGCTGCTCTTCCTGCTGCTTCCCAGCACACCCTGTGGGAGTGCTCTGGGATTCCAGGCTGAATCCCTACCCAGACACTGCTCCAGGGACAGCCATCCCTGGAAGTGACATCTTCTCTGCAGGGGCCCAGCGTGGATTTTGCAGCCTGAGCCTTCCCCAGTGTGCTGGGTGCACCGGAGTGATTTTGTCGCTGACCTCCGTGGTGCCCCACAGCCATGCAAAGCAAACAAGAGTTCTCTTCCATTGTAGTAGAGGCAGAATCATTCTTAGAGAAAGGGATAAAAAATAGCCAAGTAAAGTAGATATAAAATTAGTCTAGAAAGTGTCTCCTCAAGCTAAGACAATCCATAACCAGAGAAAAGCTCTGTAGAGGTGTGTTTGCCACATGCCAGGTGCTGATCACGACCATGATGGAACATTCTTTTCCCATGTGGTGACTCAGGCTTCAGGTCAATTTTCTGGTTGCTGATGGAAGCAGGCTGGGACAGTGTTTGGTACTGGTGAGGTTCTTTGTAGAAGCAAATGGATGGCATGAGAGGAGGATCTTTTTTCTGTGTATCTAAAGAGTCAGGAGGAGTGCTGTACGCAAGACATCTGGAAGGGATCCAGCTGAACCCCACCTTGGTGTGATGAGAGCAGGAAGGTCAAGACTGTAAGTGCCTTCTAACA